CGGAATCAAGCCTACGCTACCTGATATAATTGGCCCTAGTTAGGCCAGTCTTCTTTCCAGTATGAGGGCTTCTAATAATGCAATCATTGTCCAAGAGTATATTACTCATTTTGGGAAAATGAAGGGGGGACAGGCTCATATGATCCTCAAAGTTGGCCTAGAGAAAGCTTTTGACAGGCTAGAGTGGTCTTTCATTAGAGACACACTTTATGCCTTCAATTTCAGCCCTGGGCTGACTAAGTTAATCTTGTCTTGTATTAGCTCATCCAACATCTCTATCCTAGTGAAATGAGGGGAAAACTGATTCATTCAAGCCCTCTAGGGGCATCACACAAAGGGACCCTATCTCCCCTTACCTGTTCATTCTGTGTATGGAGAGGCTCTCCAGGTCAATTGATAAAGTTGTACTGGACAGGCAATGTCACCCTATCAGTATCAGTAGGTCTAGCCCAAGAATCTCCCATCTCTTCTTTGCCGATGACCTTACCCTATTTGCAAAGGCCAACACTAGGAACTGCACCACATATATTCTATACTGCAGGATTTCAACAAGAATTGTGGCCAAAAAATTAACCTTACAAAATCCAGGGTCCTTTTCTCTTCTAGCACAAGGCAGGATACCATGGAATGTCTCACTAATGCACTGTCAATCCAAGCTACAGCTTCCTTTGGAAAATACCTTGGATTCCCTATGTTCTATAAGAGACCCACAAGTACTGATTTCCAGTTCATAATAGACAATATGGAATCAAAGTTGGCTGGCTGGAAAATAAATTGTCTCGACATGACTGGAAGGGCCATTCTGGCCAAGGCATCTCTCAGTAGTATCCCTAGTCATGTCATACAATACATCAAATTGCCCACCAAAATCACCAAGCAAATTGATAGAATCCAGAGAAACTTTATCTGGGGCACAACTCCTAACAAGAAAAAAATGCACCTGGTTAGCTGGGATAAAGTCACTAGGAAGAAGGCCTATGGTGGGCTGGGTTTGTAAAAAACTGGGCTTAAAAATAAAGCTTCCCACACCAGTCTGGGTTGGAGGATCTACCATAACACCTCCAGCTTATGGGCTAGAGTGCTGATCTCTAAGCACTGTAACTGGAACCATACCCCCAGGAAACCTAAATCTTCTATCTGGCAATGCATCCTAAAGGGTTGGGATACATGCATCAAGGCTAGTAGATGGGTGGTCCACAAAGGTAACAGGGTGAGCTTCATGAATGATGCTTGGATTCCTAACCAGCCAGCCATTAGAGAAATGATTGAAGGCCCACTAACCCTAAACAACATAACTATCAAAGTAGACTCTGTCTACAATTCTGGAAACTATGACTTCTCTTCCATTTCTATGCACATCCCTGGAAACATCTCTAACATGATCAAATCTGCTTTTATCCCTCCCAACACTGACAAAGAGGATAGGCTAATATGGGGGGTTGACTCCAAGTGGATCCTTCACCAACAAATTAGCATATACATTCCTTAACAGTAATAAAGTGCACTGGAAAAATGGAGAGGAAGGTACCTTCACTTGGATATGAAAATTAAAAGCACCTAACAAAATAAAAAACTTCACCTGGTTACTTGCCCAAAATAGGTTGCCTACTGAGGCCTTCCTACACAGAATTGGGGTTAACTGTAACCCCCATTGTTGTTTCTGCCTAACAAATCATGAAACAAGTGACCACATTTTCTTTGAATTCCCAAATGCTAGTCACTTCTGGCAAGAATTATTATCCTAGGCTTCTACTGCAAGTAGACAGCTAAATCTCATCTTCTCTGCCCAGCTATGGCCATCAACATGGAACAAGCTATACCTGTTAATCGGGCCGGGCTGACCCGTTTTCAGCCCGGTTCGGCCCGGGTCAGCCCGGTTTAGTCTGGCACTGTAGCATATAGGGCGGGTTGGGACGGGTTGGACGGGGAGCGGGTTTTAGACGAACACATACCGGTGCACCGGAACCCGCTAAGCCCGCTAACCCGTTAACGGGTTGTTAACGGGCTACAGCCCGGTTCAGCCCGTTAATGGGTTAAATTTTTTTTTAATTTGTGTACCGTTGCTAACAAAATTTATTTAAAAAAAAAATTAGCACAGCCCGCTCGAGCCCGTTAAGCCCAAACCCGGACGGGCCCACAAAAACCTAAATTCCCAACCCGCTATCAGCCCGCTATCCCCAACCCGCTAACCAACCTGGTCCGTTACCGAACGGGTTAGTTTTTTTTTTGTTCAGCCCGTCCCAGCCCGCCCGTTAAACACCTCTAGAACAAGCTAAAAACACCTACTTCAACAGCATCATTTCATGGGAGAACATCATCCCTTTTTGTTTTTGGCACATTTGGCTAACTAGAAAGCACAAACTCTTCAATAATAAAAAAGATAGCATCAGTACCACCAACGCCATCTCCAAAGCAACTGAATACTATATGTTGGCAAAAAATGGTACTATCAAGAAGCCTTTCCATACCAACTTCAAATGGGAGCCCCCTAGGAGAGGTCACTATAAACTTAACACGGATGGTGCTGCAAAGAAAAATCCAGGTATTGGGGAAATTGATGGAGTATTCAGGAATCATAATGGGGATTGGATCATGGTATATATAGAAAATATACCACATACCACCAATACCATGGCTGATCTAAAAGCTCTTCTAAAAGGGCTTCAACTAGCAGAGCAAAATGGATGGATCCCTCTTGACATCAATACTGACTCGGCTGAAATAATTCACATGCTACTCACAAGCAACTTAACTTATGATCTTATGATTTGTGAATGCAGGTTATTAATGCAAAGGATGGATAAGGTGATGGTGAGGCACACCTACAGGGAGCAGAATAGGGTGGCCGATGTACTGGCGAAAGAGGCAGCAAAGTCCAACATCATACTAGAAGTTCCTCCAACGTTTGCAAATGATGTATTTTGGGCAGACATCCTAGGAAGTGAAGTTGTGTTTTTGGCATGTAATATTGATACGGTTGAACAAAACATGGCAGTATTACGGGAACTACAGTACCTCGGCATAGACAGTACTATGCATTGTACTTCCTAGTTTCATATATATACATATATATATATATATATATATATATATATATATATATATATATATATATATATATATCCCCTTTTAACCACACAAAAAAAATGATAATGTTTTTGACTTGAAAGTCCATGTTCAAGTCCATAAATGATTCTAAAATCACAAGCTTCATTCCATAATACACTAAGCATATTTCATATCACGTTTAATTGTGCGTCGCTATCTCTCAAAGTGGACTATACTATTTTAGTATAGTCAAAACTCAAAAATGACAAAGGTGTGAACAAATAGAGATTCTTTCCATATAAGGTAATGATAAAAGAATCAATTAACCTTTTCCGAACAGTTTGTAGTGGACCATTAAAATAATTTTCCAAGTTATGAAGTATCAAAATGCCTACTAGCAAACAGAAAAGTGAAACTGAAAAAGCATCCATTTACAAATAATCAATTTCACTAAGGTTTTGTTAGAATTACACTTCTCAAACACCATCACGGGGGTATGATGGGATGAATGAGATTATTTCATTCTTATCTAAAGTTTTCGAGTTCTAATTCCAAAAATCCAAAAACCCTCGGTAGAAAGCGCTCTCCCTTTTAATGACCTTATGCACACGAATTCGAAATAGTGGAATCAATATATACCTAATACAGATGGTTATGAGATAAATAAAATATACATCTCAACAGCTGTGATCACTGCCAAGTCACATTAGCATGTTAGAGTTTTTACTCAATATAATAAGACTATGCCTAAAAAGATGAGCAAAGCAGCACAGACCAGGTCTCTGGGGCCTAGGTTTTGTAAAGTTTTACTAAGAAAGTAGAGAATCAAGTACCAAATGTGGGAATGCTATGGGCCCCTTTTCTCTTCAAACACTCACCCCATTGTCTTTATTATTTTAATTAATAATAAACAGAAAAAAGTGGGTATATTTTAAACTTTTTATTTGTCCTAGGTTGGCTTCTCCATTAAACAAGTCGAATTTGATTTACTTCTGTCTTTTTAGTTGAAATAACAATAACAATTCTCTGATTATGTCCAAAAACATAATATAAGAAGAAAAAAAAAATACAAATAACAATAACAATTTGATCACTACCTCTCTTTTTAACTTTTTAAGTTACTACTTTTCTTTTGTTCCCCTTCTTGCTTTTTGTTAAATTGATTCAGACTTTTTTCTGAAAGCTTAAGATAAAAAGAAAAAAAACGAACAGTACTTTAATCACTAGCTATACTATTTATTACTCTTTCAGATCGACTTTAATTAATTTTTTGACTGTTTTTATATATATTAAAAAATTTATCTTTTAGCATAATTAACATGACTATATTAATCTTAATTTGTTTATTAAAAATATAACAAATACTTGAAAACTCTTTGCTCCAAGGACCACGTTGAAAAAAAAAAATTAATTCCTTCTTGATATCTGAAAAAATCAAATATTGTGAACTACTAAAAAAATATTAAAAATTAATTAAAGTGGATCGGAGAGAGTAAAAGCTAATTTATAATTTTAAGTAGACTAATTACCGTATATTAAAACAGTCACTACTTCTTTGTTATATGCATACTATTTAATTTAGGGTGGTTTGATTACCAAGATAAATATTAATTTTGATGTTTCCAGTGTTTGATTATAGGTATAAGCTAATACTCATATACCAACAAGGGTTGAGTGGAATGGTAAGTACTTCTTCATCCTTAACCAGAGGTCTCGAGTTCGAGCCCCTGGGTATGGAATCGCCTTTGTTAGGGAGCGCTTTACCCCCAATGTGGGACTTCCCGATGCAAATCCGGATTTAGTCGGACCCCAATGTGGGTACCGGACACCAAATGACAAACCCAAAAAAAAAAAAAGCTAATACTCATATAAATTCTACACAAAAATCTTCATATGATTTATCCATATTAAATGTGTAATACTTTGTTCCAAACCGATCCTATAAAAATGATGACATAGCCAAGAGTGAGGTCAAAATTGGACAATTATAAATAGTACTTAGCATATAAAACTAAGGGCTAAGTTTATTTAATTGCTTATCTATTTGAAAGTTGTCTTGGATGTATAATTTTATATAGGAGTGCACATTTTTTTTTCCCTTCTTTTAGAGAGAATAGAATGTGGGTCTGCTTCTATTCTTTCTTGAAGTTAGATTGAGCCTCAGGTTTTTGGCAGCAAAGCAGCATATGGTTTCTGGGTTTTTTGTTCTCTCATGGCTGAATGTTGGACATATGTTGTTGCATGCAAGCTAATTCATTCCCTAAGATTATTTCCCTTTTTGGGTATTTCTTCATTTTCTCGGTAACACTGTTTCTCCTCTCTTTTTAAACCTCAATCCCTAGCATTTTCTTGAATTTGATCTGGGTATTCTGTTTCTTGATTATTGTATTATTTTTGAAATCTGTTGATGGGTTTTATGATTCTCACTGGAAGTGATAAATGGGGTTTGATTTCTAATACTAATGTCTTTTGATGTGAATCATTGGGCTAAAAAAACATTGAAAGATTAGAACTTTACTTTCTTGGTGTGTTAAAAAAGGAGTCTTGAATTGATTTTCTGGAGTGGAAAATTTATGTGATGGGATCTCAGGGTGGTGGTGGTGGTGGTGGTACTAGTATGGGTGCAACTCAAGCACAAGACCCGAAGCCCAATGCATTGGCTAGGCAAGGATCATTATATAGCCTCACACTTGATGAGGTTCAGAATCAATTGGGGGATTTGGGGAAACCACTGAGTAGTATGAATCTTGATGAGCTTCTTAAGACTGTATGGACTGTTGAGGCTAGTCAAGGAATGGGGGGAACGGATTACGGGGCGCTGCAGCATAGCCAGGTTGCTTCGGGTAGTTCTCTGCATCGACAGTCGAGCATTACACTAACCGGTGATCTATGTAAGAAGACTGTTGATCAGGTTTGGCAGGATATTCAACAGGGGCAGAAAAGGGATAATAGTGATAGGAAAACTCAGGAGCGGCAGCGTACTCTTGGTGAGATGACACTGGAGGATTTTTTGGTTAAGGCTGGAGTGGTTGCTGAGCCGACTCCGGGCAAGAGAAGTAGTTCAGGCTCTGGTTTAGGGGGTGATTCAATGGCATTGCCACAACAGCAAGCTCAGTGGTCACATTATGCAATACCTCAGATACCACCACAGCAACCACAGCAGCAGAATATGCTACCCGTTTTTATGCCTGGACATCCGGTTCAACAGCCTTTGGCTGTTGTTGCCAACCCAATAATGGATGCAGCTTATCCTGAATCTCAGATGACAATGTCTCCAACCGCTCTGTTGGGCACATTATCGGACACGCAAACACTTGGAAGAAAGAGAGTTGCACCAGAAGACGTGGTTGAGAAGACTGTTGAAAGGAGGCAGAAGAGGATGATTAAGAATAGGGAATCTGCAGCGAGGTCACGAGCAAGGAAGCAGGTGACTTTTTGAAATATGTTGCTGAGTATTGAATATAGTATATCATCTCCATGACTATTGAAATATTATCTTTTGATCAACAGGCTTACACCCATGAACTGGAGAACAAGGTTTCACGGCTCGAAGAGGAGAATGAAAGGCTCAAGAGACAGAAGGTATGTTTTGTGATAGCAAACTTTCTCGTCTGTGAATATGGTATTCATTTGCTTATCCTTCTAGTCATTATCTGAGAGTGTGGTTATCGGTACTTTGTATCATTTGCATTTACTTGCATTGATGTGGTCATCACTAAAAAGTGTGAATGAGTCCAAATGCTAAAACACATGAGAAACAAATGTGAAAGAAATGTAGAACAATTTCAATGTAACGATTTTTTGATACCATTTCCGACATATAATGCTGACCTGTTTACTATTGAAACCTATATTTTTCCAGATATGTACGATTTTCACTGCTCTGCAGAACAACCTCTCATTCAATCCAGTCTAACAATCGTCTTATTGCTACTGTCTGAAGCGCTAACTCGTGAAAGAATGTTGCTTAAATCTCATATTTATTAAGGTTAGAAACAAAATGATGTTGATCGTTTATGCAATGAGAAGACACAGTCTCTCTTGTTTAATTTCCCTTACCCCATATGTAAGGCAAATGAATTTTGAGGGTCTATCACTGAATCCTTTCTCAACAAAAAAAGATCTAGTACTGAATTGCAGTTTAGTTTTATAACTTTATATTCATCCTTGTATCACTGCATTTCATTTTGTAAAACCTCTATACTATTACGTTTCCTTTTTGCTAGTTGAGTTGCATAAAGGTGCAGTAGCTATTTGATGGTTAAAGTTCACTGCTTATTCACATTGGCGAAGGAAATAGCTTAGTAGTTTAAAACCCTCAGGCAATCTCCCGAAAGTTTACGATAATTCTCGTGTCCCTTGGTTCATTGAAATAGGATAAGGTGGGCTAAGGAAGAGATAGACAACAATGTATCTATGTAAAAACTCACTGCATTCATTCAAGTTTGTTCACGTGAGAAACTAAGAGAAGAAAGGAGATAACTTAATCATCTGATCAATACAAGACACACATATTAGGTGTCAAACACAGTATACAAATGATATTTTTCCCGATGTGGGATAGTATTCAACCTTTGGTGTATGTTCTCTACTTTTTGGTACATTGCTTGTATAGCAGAGCTTTTCCCAACATGAATAAAAATATTTACCTCATCAATAAAGATATTCTAAACTTTACCATTCTAAAACTAATTCTTAACATTCTAACAGTTCATGGCTTACTTAAGGGGTTAGGAGCAAAGAGGAATGAGTGTTACGAGAGGATCACTTTCCTTTCTATACAAAAAGGGGATGGTAGTCTACACGAAAATAAAGGCAGATTGTTAGTCTTCATCCATCTGAATAGGATCAAAGTAGTTTCAAGTATGCATCTTCTTTCTGTGTTGGCAAGTGTACTCTTTTCAGGTTGGCTCAAGGCTGCAGACTTCGGAGGTAAAGTCAAAGATTAGAGGAATAGTTATGCAGTCGTCTTTGGGAGGATAGGATGAAGATGATAGAGTCGATCAATGAGTTTTGGAGAAACAGAGAGATTGGAATGGGTAAGAGATCCAAAGGAAAGGTAGCACAAGGAGTAGGTCAAATGAGAGACTGGTGATTGCACAAGACTAGTTGGAGGCAGAATTAGAGGGCGTGGTGGTTAAAGGAGGAGAATGGTAATACTAAGTTTTTTCAAATGGTAGCGGTAGCGAATAGGGCGAGGAATTTCTTTGAGTATCATAGGGGTTGGCATAAAACCGAAATAACCAACCAAATCAAAATTTTCCATTTTGGTTTTCCGGTTTATTTGGTTGGTTCACAGTTAATTTTTTATAACTTCGGTTCTTCGGTTCGGTGGTTGGTTTCAAGGGCTTGGTTTTTCGCTTTTCTTTTCTTATCTGTTTTGTCTATTTAGTTTTGAAAGTAGCGAACTTAGCTAAATTTTATTGAACAACTCTTTGCAACTTATGAGGCTGTAACCAAATAGATTTATTCCTACATGATCCCAAAACAGAAACGATTAAACCGAAACAAACATGAAATACTCGAACCAAATCGAAATTACTACGTTTTAGTTTCCGATATCAAAATCGACGATCCAAATACCAAACTGACTGATATCCCACCCCTAGAGTATAAAGTCAATGAGGCAGTGATGAAGGGTGAGGAGGAAGTGAGAGGGGCAATGCAAGATTTTACAAACAGTTGTGTATGGAGGAGAAGGTTGGGGGGG